GTAATAGTATCATCTACAACTTTTACTTGAAGCATTTCTCGATATTTTAAGAAAAAAAAAATTTTCGATTTTTCCGAGATTTTTCCAAGGGGTACCCCTTCAGATTTTGCGAAATTTTCGTTTTTCGCCAATAACTCCAAAACCGTTCGAGATACGGGAAAATTGCATCAGACCTTTTTTGTAGAGGACGGTGAGATCTACAATTTCCATGTAAAAATATTTCGCTAGCGTCAATAGTTAACGAGTAATTCGCAAAAAACTGCTTTTTCGTTTTTCGTTAATAACTCGTAAACTATTAATGCTAGCGAAATATTTTTGCGTGGAAATTGTAGATCTCGTCGTCCTCTACAAGAAAGGTCCTATGCAATTTTCCCGTATTTCCAAGGGTTTAGCAGTTATTGAGGAAAAACGAAATTTTTTTCCAAAAGTTCGCCGTTTCGACGCTGGCATGGTCGGATTTTGTCAACATCAATAAAATGCCAAATAATCATACTTAACTCTTTAAATATCGAAATTGGAAGAAGAATGCACTATTTTTAATTATAGGAAATGCGTCTTTCTAAAGTACATGAACTTTTGGTATTGACTATATAGCCAATACATCCTTAATTCCTGTTTCGAAGCGATAGACAAATGCTGATAGAATCATCAGATATCGTTTACGACGTAAAATATGCTAAATGCAGAAAATTAATGACCAGCGTAGCTGAAGTACAAAGAAAATGTACAGACGGAAGAGCATAGACGAGTTTTCGAATCAAGGCTTCACAAATTATGTTTGTCACAAATGCGAAAGCCTAACTTCTCGATTCGAGTATGCGTAGTTTTTTCACCCCCTGTTCTTCGACTTTCTGTTTGTCTTCCGCGTTCTCCAACGTTTTTCAAAATTCTTCCCTTCTTGCACTGATCGCTCTACCCGGTTCCATTTTTTCCTCGTCTTTACGCGCCGGTCTTTCTTTATTCTTCGATATACGCGTCGGACACCTTCACCGTTTCTTCTTCCGCTTCTCCGCCCCTCGCTCTCGTCTTCTCTCCATTTCTCTCGGCCGTCTCGCACGGTTATCTCTCTCGCGTTTTTATTTTAGCTCGAAGCAAACGCTGAGAGATAGGAGACAGGGTGCGGAGCGAGGTACCGAGTACGGAGGTAGGAGACGGAGAGTAACGGCAAAGGAGCAAGAAAGAGAAGAGGTAGAAGAGGCAGAAAAGGCAGAAGGCATAAACAGGCGGGGGTAGGAAAAGTAGGAAGGTGGATGCGAAAGACGAGAGAGAGGCGAGAGGAGTGCGGTAACCGTGGAGGAAGAGGACGGTTGAGGGTCGTGGGTCGAGGGGATGGGTGAGGCAGAGGTGGCGATGGAGGCGGGGGCGGCGGCGGAGGAGGAGGAGGATAGAACACAAACGGCCTCGCGAAGAGAGCTCGTCGAACGGGCTCTCCTCTCCTCTCCTCTCCTCTTCTCTCCTCCTTCGAGTCGAGTCTCGCAGGCTATGGTTTCGTAACACGCGTCTTTCCCACTCTCCGCCTCGTCTCCTCTTACTCCGTGTGCTCGTTCGTGCAACGCGTTCTACGACGCTCGTGGTACGCGTCTTTTCAGAAGTTTCGACCATTTTGCAAACGGTGGAAGAAGAACGCGTCACCGCCGAAAGAGGCCGATTCGAAGTCGGAGGCAGAACCGTGGATCGCGGTTATCTAACTTATCCGATAATCGGGAACCGATCCCTGTCGATCGGAGAACGATCCCGGCGAGCGAGAACTGGTACCGAGCGTGTATAAAGCAACGATAAAACGGAACTCGTCGCCGCCTCTTCCGAGAGCATTTTGGGTACCCGCGATATCTCGGGCTCTCCCGAGATTCTCCAGCCAGAAACGTGAAAGGAAAAGGAACACCGAGGAGAGCCAGTTACGAAACGAGAGCCGTCTCCAAAGTTACGACGCGCTCTTGGCCAAACAGCACCTAAGACACCGACCATACGGATCTCTAGGGAGCTCCGTGATTATTCCGGGCGCAAATTTATTTTTATCAGGCTGTACCGGGGTCTGTTCTCGCTTCGAAGCCAATGTTGCCGGATTACGAGTTTTTCCACTGATTCCTGCGAAATCGGGAGCGACACCGAGCGTGATGCACCGCGTACACGCGGTGGCCGTGGTTAAAAAAAGGCGATTAGCTAAGATGCTCCAAAACTTCTTCCACGGATATCCAAGCTCTCGTTCCATCTTTCGACACTTTCGAAATATCAATTCTTTGGAGCGGACTCGAAAAGGTTACGTAATTCGGTCATCGCTTACGAATTTCCGAGCCGAGAATCGACGAAAAGCAATGATTAAGTGCTCGTGTAGTCTCTCTAGAAACTCCTATGACTGTAATCTAATCGTCTAGCGGACACACGCGGGTTCTTGCGATCTTGAGGCACGGGTAACGAGATAAGAGACAAAGGGATAAAAACCTGCCGGGGCCAAAGAATTTTCGGATGTTCGATCCGCTCGTTGGTTGTACCATCTTCTATCGCATCGGAGCAGACCGAGACCGGTCGTAAATAGCCGGCGCGGCGCGCTAGAAGCGGTCGTAAGGGTTTCCCTTATCTGCGTCAGCGTTTCTGTTCGCGCGATTACCTACGGTTTTCTTCCTCTACGGCGCGGAGCACGGGACCGACGAGCAGTCTAGCTGGCTGCTAGCAGTTCCTTCTTTTCCTTCTCTTCTTCTTCTTCTTCTTCTTCTTCTTCTACTTTTTTTCTTTCTTTGGATAATCATCCGCGCATACATAGGTGCAGTTCCCTCGCCTCGGCTGACACGTTGCAGTCGGAGCAAAGAAGAAGAATGCACGCGTTCGCGTGTAGCTCGGTCGTGCGTGTTCGCCGCGTTTCGGGTTTCTCCGGCCTCTTCACGGTTTTCGCTCTTTCGACCTTTTCGTTTCGACCATGACAGAGTCAACGTACATACACGCGTATGCTCGAGTATGCGAGCAACGAAAACGAACGCAACGTCTGCGAGCGAAAAACCTTCGTAAACACTCGAGCGCATCGTTTCTGACGTACACGTAGATAGATAGATATCCTCGGACTCGTCCCTCGCCTCCTAGCTCAACCTACGAGTCACCTGCTTCACCGGCTTTCTCATCGACCGACGAACTACGAATACGTAACACCCTTGCAGGAAGACAAGGAAACTACCCTGTACCCAACGCCTATTTCCCAGCACCTGATACGACGTAAAAAGACGTAGCAGGCGATGTCGCGCTTGCGGCGCTTTACAATCAAAAACGAGCGAAAAAGACAAAAGCGGTCAGAAGGCGTCGTCTTCCGGTGTTAACGAGGAACGCGTCGAGTTCCATTTGCCGCGATAGCGTTCGATGAGTCATCGCGCTGCTTATCGAACGCGAAACGAATTACGAAAAAGGTAACGTACAGTACAACGGAGACAAGAGAGGCTCGAATCGTTTTCTGTCGCGGCATCCCGCGGTGCGACTCGGTTCACATGCATTTAGCTTTAGAGTAGCACGGCCTTATCGGCGACGATAGGACAGAAACGTGCTGGAATAAGAAACTTGTTTAGATGGTAGAAATTTGGTCGACAAATCGAGGTAGGTATCCGTACAGTTAGTAACAATGAAACTGAGCCAGTTCGGGTTTGTGTTAGTTTCTTCTATGACAAAATTCAAAACGAATAATAAGTCTACATCTTATTTTACAATGCTCGATCTGGAATCGATATTGTTAAACTTTAACACAATTTAAACGTGTCGAACACCTAGACTTATTACTCGCTTTGAATTTTGTCCTCTTAGGGGAAACTAACACAAACCCAAACTGGCTCAGTTTCATTGTTACTAGCTGTACCTACGTCCGCTCGTTGCGGCAGACCGAAGCGATTCGCCCGCACCTATTTAGATTGGAGAAAAATTAAGGAACGGGATATGTACAACGTCGGAGACGCGGTCTCGTTAAAACCGCAATTAGGCCGCATTACCGAATTACGTTACAATTGAGAGTAACGAGCACACGCGGTAATAAATTACAACGGCTCTCGCGTAATCATTACCTCAGAGTTTCGTGTAACACCGTCCCTATCGGTTTACATTCGACTTTAATTGCATCGTGGTACGACGCGATAGAGGCTTTTCGTACTTGGAACCGGATTCATCTGAGAACCACCGGTCAGATACTTCACCGGATACTGATAACGATCCGAACAATTAACCGTGATTTCCCCAAATTAAATCGAACAAATGCGCCTACACCTGCTTATGTAGATTATTTTTTACTCAGTCGAAAACGGACACGTAACGTCGCGCTTTTTCTTATTGTATTCAACCGAGAGAACTGTCGCACGTATAATGCCGATTGCGTCGCGTCGATTAACACGATGAACGCTATGTAACTGCATACGTAGAATGAGTCACATACATATCGTGTACGTAGCACGTCCAACAGTCATCAGACGTGCGTTTACAAAGATTCGCTGGTTCGACGTGAAGGTGTAGTCGTCTGTCCATGTGGTATACCTATGGACTAACCAACTGCAAAGTTCGCGTGGTACCGACAGTCGTTTAACAACATGTGTTTAGTTCCATCGTCGGTTTTTCAATAGAGTTTGTCTCTAACTCTATGAGTTTCCCGATCGGTTAAGGGTTCATGGGACAATAGCTATCGTAAAGCAAGGGTCCAGGACGAAACGTTGGACAATAAACACTGGGCCTTAGCTCCATATGTTTTCAAGGACCTATCTTGAGAAAGAGCAGACTTTTTTTCGTAAGTCGATACAATTGTACGACGTCCATTTACTTCATCCTAACAACATAAACAGATACTTTGATCTCTTTCTGAATTTACAAATGTAGAATTTGCGGTGCAACGTGGAGGAGAGGTTGCAGTATGAAAAACGAAACGAGCTGGTTGTGCGTAGGAAAGAAGATCGCAGCGATCGGTGTCAATGGTATTAACGGTATTTTCTCGGTTGGACAATTATCTCGATTACCCGACAAATGATCCGTCGTCGAATTTCGCATGCTTCCTCGACGACACAGGTAATGGCATCGGTATCTATGCTCGTGAATTTAGTTGTTAGCCGTCAAAGCGGTTGCGACGGTGCAACGTTTTACCGTGTTCAAAACATATACGAAATTACGGTTACCGTCGATACTACTCGCGCCTGCCCTATCTTTTTTTTTATTTATCCACAGAAATTGATTATGATTAAAAAAAAGAATAGATGCGTTACTATTATCAGCACGAATAAACCGAATAAGCGGAGATTCGATTGGCGTCGCGGATCGACCAGGGACGAGAAACTTTCAGAATTCGAAGAGAAACCGGAAAGTTTGGACTCGGGGAACCGCAACCTCCGCGCGAACAATTTATGGATGCTCGTTGACAAGCTTCGAAAAGTCGCTCACGAACATCTCGGGCCGGTAACGCGGCAACTTTGATCTCTGGATGCTCCTTGGCATCTCGGCTATGCACCTCGTACTATTCGATTACCCGGACTATCCAATTTCGCTTGATTTTGACAATTTTCTATTCCATGCTATTTTACATTTTATCAACAATAACGACAGCAAACGTCAAATCGTCTTTCATCCATCGTTAAACGGAGAATAGATTCGTGAAAGAATGCCGGTTCCTTTTTATAATGCATCTCCTTGAAAAAAGGAGGAGAAGAACGAAAAACGGAACGGAGTGGAAGAGTGCTTACGAGTCGCGAAGCGTGACCGGGGAAACTTTTGGCACGGGCCGCGGACACCTAAATGGTTTACTATCGGCTGTGCGAGAAATTACGAGGCAATGCGAAACGATACGGGACAGCGGATAGGAGGCGACGCAACGGAAATCTCGCTCTCGCTTTTCCTTACTCTCCCTCACCCTCTTCTTGCTGTTTCTCTCTTCTTCTTATTCGCGCATCCCCACCAGCCCTCACTCTCGGCGCCATCTCACCCTCTTCTCACCCTCCCCTCACAGTCCTCTCATCCTCTCGTCCTCGTGTAGGGAGTCGCTTCAAAACTCGGTCAAAGTCTCGTCGCCGTGGCGTCTTGCTTTGGGGATTCGAAGTAAGGGTCGTTTCTCTTTCCGTTGATCTGTTTCTCTCCGTTCTTCATTTCGAATTTGCTCGTTATGCCCTTCTTTTATCTTCCCTTTTCTCCTCTTTTCTCGTTTCGTACCCCCGTGCTCCTCTCTCGCTTCTTGTTTTTGCGTTTTGGGTCAAACGGACGACCCCGTTTCCCTTCTCCGCGGAAACGTCTTATTGCCCGAAACAGAGCATCTCGGAGAGATCTGGAGCATGGAAGATTTTTCGGAAAACTTATCGAGCATCCGAACAGTGCGAACGTTAGTCGACGCGACGGGAATAAGTTCCTCTGGTCGTTTAATCTCGCCAGCAATTTCGCTGATCACATTCGCTCGGGCGTCGATCGACGATCGATCGCATATTCGAAAAGAGACGCGATTTAGGAAGTCGCGACACGGGAGGCGTAGAACACGCGAGGGTTGAGCCCGTGAAAATACACCGACCCAAGCGGAGGGAGAAAGTTTAAAGCGTCGAATAGAAATTCGATTTATTGACTTTCCGAAGTCACTCTCCCTTTTTTTCGCGGAGATTTAGGCAGGGGAAATCCGATGGAGGTACAGAGTCCGGAAAAAAGCGGCGGAAAGAGGCGCAGAGAAACGGTATCGGTGAAACGGGTAGCGGTAGGTCAGGATCGCGAGGAACGAGATGGATACAAATCATAAAATTTGATTGATCCGACCTAGGCCGGGGGAATATTGAATGTGTGCGCGACCGCCCGATATCGTATGTACCTATCGACTCGCTGTGACGATCAACGCTGCACGTTCCTATTTTCCACTACTCGAGAAAAGAGAAGATAGAATAGAAAGAAAACATTGATTCGCGGTGGTTCACACTTTTTCTTTCGTTTCTCCCGACCAAGACCGAATCGTCGGTTAACCAGTTAACGCGGAAAAAGTGAAACACGTTACGTTTTACAATTCTTTTTTAAATCGAGCTTATATCGTGCAAATTAATTCGCATGTTACAAATCGGATCCAACGATTTCCACGTGGAAATTGAATCGGACTTTTAGTCGAGAAGCTCGGGCATGCTTTCTCGTTGCGTTGAAAAACATTGAGTCTAATGAAATCGAAAGAGAATTGTTACCCTAGATTAGATGAAAGCAAGAATCGACCGCCAACGTCTCAACAATTTCAGGCTTTATTCGAATTACATGAAAATCAAGCAAGCTGAGAATCTCTTCTCTGTTCGAAGGGCTGGCGCGAAGAAAATCCTCTCGATCGATCGTGACTGTACAGATTCGAGGCAAGATTATAGTGGCTCGACCACAGAAGTTGTTGCTTCTCGAATAGCTAAGAGAAGAAAGAGAGACTCGTAGTCGAGTGCTTTGTCTCGTTTGGTACGGGTAAAAGAAAAGGGAGTCAAACGACGCAAACTATCCTCGACCTCGAGGTCGACGACAATCGCGATAGACCGATAAATTAGCTACTAAGCGCGACTAGACGAGGCCAAAGTGAAAATCGATTCACCGTGGATATATAAAATAGGCCTCTTCTAACTGCGGCTCGTCGCGTAACGACAAAGAACAAGCGAGTTTTGTCTACGACCAACGCGCGAATACAGATTCAGGATGGACGTCCACTTTTATCGGTTGGCATCGATGATACGAGGGCAGAGAGGAAAAATTGAGAGGAGGGAACCGAGCATTAAAGCATGAGACATGAACGGGATCCTTTTAGGAGGCTTCGATGCACGTGCTACGAGTCGAAGATTTTATGAATGGAGACCACACGTGGTGCGAACGCGCGGTCCGATACGCGGTCTATCGTTCTTGGGAGCCAGTTAGCGTCGCGGAGGCAAGAAAAAAGAGGGAACAGGTGAGGGAAGAAGAAGAACGAGGAGTAGACGAAGAGGAATAAGAAGAATCGATGTCGAAGGAACGAGCGCCGCAGGAGAAAGAGAACGCGTTTCCGTCGACTAAGAAGAAAAAAAGTCGCAATGGAACTCGGTCGTCTACTCTGTAATTTATAACTGGAAACTCGGAACTACGGCGGCGACCTAAAGCGATACGTTGATTCTGCTCACAGGGGAATCCCCCCCTCCTCCCCTCCTCCTCCCACCGTTTCGCCGAAGGTCGAACAACCTACGGCCAGAATTCTCTTTTCTCTTCTCTTCTTCTCCGATCACTTTCCCGTTCGATCATCGCACACTTTGCCTCGCGCGATGCTCGTGCAAAACTAATCGACGCGAATCTCCATGTTCGACAGACGTTCTACTCCACTTCCACTTTCGCCTTGTCTGGCTAAGAACGAGCAACGAGTTTCACGCTCCTGCGCGACATATAACGTACACTGTTGCACAGAAATATTCGTGATTCTATTTTTTCATCCTCTCCGTCGCGAAAATAATCCGGCACGTCCGTATTCGTCGAAAAAATGAATGCATTCCGGGAGATCCCCGCGAGTTTGGACAGGTTGCGGTTCTTCGAATCATTATTTGGCTCGTAAATTTTTATCGCGCACGCAGGACGCCTCCTTGTTTTTACGAGGATCATTACACCGTAAGATCGCTATAGCGATTCCGAGTGTATCCACGCAAGTCTCTCGGGGACGAGCGCGAAAGAATCGCTGTTCTCGATCCTCGATCTCGTACCGCGCTACGTTCCTTGGCACTTAAAATCTGGAATGTAGTATCGCGTCGCCGAGGATGCGAAAACTTTGCTTGATTCGCTTTTCCGACGTCGTTTCTGGTCGTGCTGGTAAATCGCGGATCGTCCCTTTTTTTTTCTTCTTCTTCCGATTCCACCAGGAGAGAAATTGGAGAAAGTTCTCTGATGCGGCGCGTTCGCGACGAAATCAGCCATGAAACGAGTCTCCTCGCAGAGATTTTCGAGGATCGGTTCGCACACGGCCCATGCTTTGCGCCGACACGATCTCGTTCCTCTTTAAACCGCGAAGAGAAGATCGTCAATTTATATGCTACGCTAAGAAATAGTTTTTCCGGTAACTGACGTTCGCGACGCGAAAAAAGGAACCGCAGCCAGTGAAAGAGTGGGATAAAAACGATTAGGGCATAGAACAGGAGACGTGCGTACATAGGTGTACGTATATCTGGCTAGGTAAAACGTAGACAGGTAAGGTGTAGGTAAACTAGCTGCGCAGTGGCGCGAGCGAACAACCTACAGAGAAGAGAAGAGAAGAAAATAGGAGAGGAGAGATGGGTAGGGGGACAGAGAGGGAGAGAAAGAGAGGAGGGAACGAGGAGAGAGCGAAAGAGCAGTGGTTTTTCGTTATCGACATTTTCCAGGACGCAGGAAGGTGTGCGTGAGATCGTACGTGCGTGAGCTCCTCTCGTTGCCCCCTTTAGCGGCGAGCCTGTGCGAGCCCAGCTCCCGTGTTCGTGTCCGTACGTAGTTGTAGGTGTCTCGCTCGAATGTGTGCGCGAAAATTTGTACGAGCACGAGTATGCATGTACGTGTTGGCGGGCATACGGGCAATGTATGTGTGTAGAGTTTTCTGGAGGTTTCCCCTAGCAACGAGCAGCAGCAGCAGCAGCACCGCTACTACCACCACCACCACCACGAGCACCACCAGCACCAGCACCAGAGCACCAGCACCAGCACCAGCCACAGCCCGGCTTAGGGGTAGCTACGAACCCCGCGCGCGACACCTCGATTTTCTCTCTTTCTCGTTTCTCCTTTCGCTTCTTATCTCTCCTCGGTTTCCGACTCGGCGCAATTTTCCTTAAATCTCGCGCGTTCTATCCCGCGATTCGATCCGAGGACAGGGAAACCCATGAATTTCAGCGTGCCTTTACGGTGTATGACTGTTCGTACTCCGATTTTTGTAGAACCGAGAAGGAAAACGAGAGCAACGAATCGAGCACAGTCAATGAAGATCGCACATGCGTTTCCGTTCCCGAAGCACAAACTAAAAGCCTATAGACCATCGAGGAGAACACCGGCTCCGATTTCACGAGAGAAACGAGTAACTTAATCCAAGGAACGTTCGGTAAAAGCGTTGCATTATCAGTAACGTCCCTCGACTTTTCACGAAACGCTCGATCATAGTTAAGTTTTAGTCTCCCGCCGCGAGTACAAAAGGCTTTATTCGAAGCGATGCGAAAATCAGGCATGTACTACAATTTACACGATTTTTCGCGGGTCCTGATTATGACGACGTGGAAATGAATCGTCGATCGCCAGGTATTTTCGATATTCGTAAGATGCGAAAGAACATCGTCTACCAGCGGGACTCGAAGCTTTCCCTACGAAAGAGGAGCCAAGCGAACAGAGAGGCGGAGAGAGAGAGAGAGAGAGAGAGAGAGAGAGAGAGAGCGAGAGAGAGAAAAAGCGAGAGAGAGAGAGAGAGAGGACGTGAGGAGTGAGCAGGGGAAAGAGAGAAGGGAGAGAGACGGATAGAATCTCTCCATTCCCTTGGCCACCTCCCTCGTCTCACCCCCTCGGGCTGCCCTAGTCGTTTCCAGCAAGTACTTCTATGTACCAACCATCTCCTACACGCTACCCTTATATACCTCGTACACATATATTTACCTTGGTGGCATATACGCGTACCTAGCTGTACGGTATATACCTGAACATCGAGGTCCGCGTTACATACTATATGTTGGTACATAGGACCACGCGCCACATAAAAAGTACATAGACAGGGTAGAGTTATATGTATGTAGCTCCGGCTGAAAATTATTCCGAGTATTTTCGAATTAGCGTGCAAAAACGAGCAACGCTGCGCGGAGAGAGAAAAAAAAAAAAGCGTCTGTTTTCCACCGATGCACCGACCGTTCGCGCCCGCCCGCGCGTTTCTTGAACGCGCCTCACCGACCGAATTCTGACTCTCTTCTTCCAGCTGTTAGTCTCTCTGATCAGATCTATCGAATACTCCTTAGTATCAATTTAGTCGTCAGGTTGATCTGACATTTTCGCGATCTACGGCGGCGGTTTTCGACTTTCGTTCATGACGCGACGTCCGTGTCCGCACATTTTCCAGCTCGTTATTCTTCCCGCGAATATTTTTTTCAGCAACGACGATAGACTATAAAAGCCTCGTTTTTTGCCGGTTCTTTGTTCCCGTGCCAAGCTCGGAAACCTCGGAAGACCGGTCGCGGTCTCGGAGACGCGACCCGACGGACTTCCTCGTAGAAGCAAAGCAAAAGCCAGCGCCGCCTACGCACGGCTTCTCTTCTCTTAAGACTGAAAACGATCGATCGGAACGCACGCAACTTGCTCACAATGAAAAATCCAAAATGTTCACTTGTAGGTTTTCGAAAAAACGAACGAGCCACCATCCCCATACAAATGGCAATCGATTATAAAAACAGACACGAGCGACGATCGGTGATTCGCGATTAGATACGGACGAGATGTTTTACGTAATTCCTTCTTCTTTCGCGCTGACAGGTTTTTCTTACGCGGCGTTCTGTCTTGGACAGACAACGTGAACGGTTTTCCTCTCGCCAAGCATATCAACGGATTGCGTTAGGAGACGATAAGATTGTCAAGTTTTCGCGTTTCCATAAATATTTGCGGAGGCATGTTGCGACCTAGCTGTTGCGATAAGTATCTCAACGGTGGGCAACGCACGATTCGATGGAACAAATCTCGCGGATTCTCGCGATCTGTCGAATGAATTAAAAAAGAGAGGGAAACGGAGAGAGAGAGCGATCGTAATTAGCGAGTACTTATCCATAGAAAGTACTTATCGATTAACCGTATGAAAGAGCTTACGCACCTTCCTCCCTTCCCTCTCTTTATTAAGTACACGCGTAACATACGTACGCGCGCATCGAGCAAGTTTACATGCAATTCGTTCCTCGGCGAACGATCCGCGGCAACCATGAAATTCTGATCGACGAACAAAACGAATAGGCCATCGTTTCGAAGTACGTAGGTTGAATTTACCTGTTGCTGATCGTACAAAGGCGCCAATTCCTGGGACTTCATTTCTGCTCCCTAAAACAAAAAAAGAGAATAATAGTTTAATGATTCGTTCGGCAATAAGCATTGCGCGTTAAAAACAGTCTCGTGCGTCATTGATTTCATGCATTCTATGTTCGATCTTTTTGTTTTCAGGTCGTATCCGTCGCCTGTGCAAAACGGAGGGTCGAACGGGACAACGATCAATTGCGGAGGCTCTCAAGGTAAGAGTAAGAAGTTTTGTATCTGCCAGAAGAAATTGGAATTGGAATCCGGATGTTGTTAGTTCGGCGAGAGCGAAGCGAAAAATCGCAGCCAGCAACGGTTTTGGCGAAATTGTACATTTTCAGAAATGAATCTGCATTTCGTAATAAAGGCTGAGCTACGCAGATTAATCGGTCCGGTGAAAAATTCGAGGAAACGTTCAGCGCAACATTGGATTAACGTTGCATTAAATTTATTGCCATCGACAGAATTCCCTTTTAAAGATATTGTATATCGCGTCGTCGGAATACGCGAGCGAATAATTTCCAAGCATCGACGATGCGCGACGCACGAGAGAACGACTCGGCTCGGATATTTTAGGGGGTACTACTTTCGGTATGATGAAAAAATTGCGTCTAACTCTTCCGCGATTCAATATCACGGAATGCACTAATATAAACGGCAGAACGACAAAGGAACAACGAACCGAATACTATTTTCATTTCGTACATTCAAATGCGTCCAATGTAAGCCCCCGTTGGACGTCGCTGATTTGTTTGGCATGCAGTAAAAACGATCTGCACGCATCGCGCTGGTACGCGATCAGTTTTAAATTCAATCCGCTATGCTGCTCCTTGTTTTTCCACTTACCGCGGGAAACGCGAGATATTATACAAAGGGTAATCGGCAATCTGCTTTAGCTTCGGCTACGCGATTTTCCAAAAATATTACCAGCAATAATATATAATCCACCGTGTAAATCCATTGAAATGAAAAAAAATTACGATAGCGAAAGTGCGAACGGTAGCACGTGAACATGATTTCGCGCATGGTCGAGGTTAAAGAACGCGTAAAAAAATATTTGAGAAAAATCGGGATTTTGCGGAGGGTGTCGCGTCGACGCACAACCGCCGATAATACCGGAACTACGATATATCTATGTTCATGTGTGCGTATCGGTGTTGGTAAATGTTTTTTTCCGGGCTCATCGAACCGTTTCACTTACCCTATATACCGTTCGTTATCGTATCGTGCGGACGCGCTCGTTCTTTTCGCGAGATCCTAGTATCCATTAACGGGGTAACCAAGCTTCTCTCCGCAGAAAATCTGAACGAACGCGAATCGTATGCGTAGATGTACATTTCTCGAGTGGTATACGAGTAAATACGAGAAGTGTGAATTTCCGCGTTGTTTCTTTCCCATTAAAATCCGTTTGACTAGCGGCCTAAAACGAGTATGTAGATACCTAAATGCTTATTTATTATAATTATTATACGTGACGTTGAAGCGACAGAGAGACGACTATTCGGCAGCGTTCTTTACTTAAAAAAAAAATACATCTCTTGATGTACACAAGGGGTGTAGAGATGAATAATACCGAAATCGATCGGTTATCTTTAGAAAACCATTAATGTAATGAAAGATAAATCGGGGGTGGGAATAAAAAGAAATTGGAATGCGAAGTAGAGATGAAGCAACGATGCCTTTTTCTCCGCAGGAGTGATGGTAAAGCAGGAAGCTCGGGATGACGGTTACGAGACAAGTCCGGACCTCGAGATGAGGAGCACCGGTGGTGACAGCAGTCAGCAGTACCACACGCCGCTGACACCGCACACACCGCACACGCCGCATACGCCGCACACGCCCCTCACCCCGATATCGGCGACAGCGCATCAACCCCAACAACCTGCCTCGACCGCTTCCACCCTCGGACAGGTGAGTCCAGCGATCGGTCTTTTTTCACCTTCTTACCTTACGTACTTCTCTTTTATCTCTCCCCGCTATTACGAAAGAAAAACAGACGGGTGGAAGCTAATTGTATCTAAAATATACATGTGTTCGCGGCTCGCGATGCTCCGAGGATAATCTCTTCAAATTGTTTTTTTACAATTGCATATACAAGGGAAATTGTTCAAGCCGCGCACGCCGATTCTCATGATATCTACGTGGGATATAAATCTTAAGTCAATATTTGATTCTCCTGTCTTTTTTAAATGATCTATGTTGAAGGGTCCTTGTACGGTATAAGTAGCTCTGCATAATCTTCCAAATTACAAATGATCCTCGAAAAAGAAGTAGCTGCCTGCGTTCGCGAATGATTAACACACTTTGACCTCGAGCGTAGAGCGCACCATTTGGATTAGATAAAAAGTACATAAACACAATGAATTTGCAGATGACGATCAAGTGTGAGACCCCGGTAGATCCGTACTCGTTCGTGGACGAGGAAATGTCGATGAGCGGAATGAGGTCGGCGAGCAGCCCGGTCGGGAACCCCGAGAACATGACGTGTCCACAGGGTGGAGGGCAACCGACGCTGGGTACGCCTACGGGTTCGCCACCAGGTTCGCTAACAGGACCGCAACACCTTCAAATGAACCTAGGCGTGATGAACGGAAACACGAATCCTCAGTTGCCGCATCAACCGAAGAAGCGAGGTCGCAAGAGAAAATCTGAAATGATCCTCACCCCCGAAGAGTAAGGACTGCACGTTCATTTCTCTCCCCGTTCATAAACTATCGCGAATAGAATACATACTTCCTTCTAAACGAGATTAAAGTTTAGCACACACAAACAAGCACCCTGTGCGGCAAGTGTCCGTGGCTCGCGGTCGACGGCCCAGTCGATTCCGACTAATAATATGCGGCGAGGTCAATAGACCTCGACCTACTGGGTCGATGCGACTAGACTCGATTATAACTCGATACGAACTTTTACCTCCCACTCTGTAGATTCTAAATATCGCCGCGCTTCCGAAACTCTCGCCTCGAAACGGAATAATTAGATTCTTTGCACTATACTCTTAAGTATTTAGGCTCTAAACTGTAGAATATAAATTGTAGACTTCAGAGTTCAGAAAATTGCTGTTCGCTACACGGTTGTATACAATATGACGCGATTGAGTTACAGCTTATATCATTATGTGACAATTTGATAATAGGGCGGAACTGGCTGAAGCGAAGAAGCGAGCGAAGACGTACAAAGAGAGGAAAAAGCACGACAGATTCGACGGCATGCCGGAAGAGGAAGTTAGCAAGCGCGTGCTTCCGGACCATCTTACCAACAATCTCGACATCATAATAGTAAGTTGACTATATACAGAATAGTCAAGATGTAGGTCAGAAGCGATATCATAGTTGCAATTACACCTGGAATAGGCGATGCGAGCCGCGCGTTGTCGCGTCGCGTCGCGTTTTTCGGCCAAGAAGGAATTAATCGAATTAGTCGCGAACGTAACGGGCGCCTGTTTAACAGGAAAATTTATCTTGAAGGCAGCGAGACGGTGACAACGTAACGACGGGGAATAGTCGTTCGTAGCGCGTTCGTCAGGTGTCGTAATCGTTTTAATGGTCCATACCCAATTCGGTTATCACGCTCGAGGTCGGTAACGAGCGCGAGATCTACAACCCCCCGCGCTCTCACCTTCCTACCATTTCATCCGCGTATATGCATACGTTTTCCGCTTCCCATCGAAAGCTATTGCCGTTCTCGTCGTAAACGAGGTAAATTCTATGCCGTCCATCGTCGTCGGATTCCGCGGAAATCAAAGAGTTTTTCGAGACGAAGAGAGTCCGTTAGCGGATAGTTCGTACCAGCGTATTACGCGGAACGAGTAACCAGCGCGGTCGATCATCCGTCAAACGGTGTAAACGCTTTAACGGGCCGTGGGCAATTCGGTTATTACGAGCGTCGTTGTAATCGAACGTAGCGGGACACTGGCATTCGTCTACCCTCTACCTACCTCTATCTACCCCTCGATATTCCCTCTCCATCCACCTAGCGAAACCCCCGACCCTCTAACCCAGACCCGTTCCGTTTTACTCTCCTCTCCTCTCCTCTACTCCACGCCGATCTCATCGACGCGCGTTGTTTTCAATCGGCGACAATTCCACACCCAACCCACGCTTCCAACCCCCGTCATTTTATCCTCGTTTATCCCGGCCGAAGCGCCATTCGACGTCGGCCGACCGGCTAACGCATTGGCGTTAACGCGCTAATGCGATACGTACTTTATGTACGGAGGGAGAGAAACCAACCATCCGTACCCACCAAACGATATAACGCGATTTCGACCAAAGTTCCACGACCGCTACTCCTCTTTCCCTCTACATTTTCCCAACTTTTCATTTTTAACTACTCTTCGTAAAAAAAAAAAATACGTTTTTCTTTTTTCTACTGCGGAGACAACGTTCCATACTTTTTATCGTTATCGACTCTCCTATTTGCGAACCTCGCGTCCTTGTGTAACGAATCGGAACCGATTAAGGAAGGTGCGAGCAGCGACTTTGAAAACCGAAAATTACGAGAGTCGCGAACGTCTCCGTCGCGTATCCTTGGACTTTGTCATTATTAATTGTTCGACCGAGGCGACGCGACGGAGCGAAGAGCGAAGATAATGTGGTTGCGCAACAGGTACTACCACACCTGTGTCTACCGTGTTGCATAATCGCAGCTAAGAACAGTGTACGCGAAATCCGTACAACGACGAAGGTCCGTACTCGACCGTAGGACATACCGAACACCGAATACCGAATTCCAATGTATATAACTACGTATCTACGATTCGCGGCAACCCTCGCATCGCATGCGTTCTTTCCCTGCGATCTATCTTGATCCAAGTTCGAATGTCGATCACCGAGTTAAGCCGTGCGCGAAATACGTTCCAATTAGCAACGATTAAACGAGGAAACCAGTTAAAAGAAAAACATTAATTTTCACGAAATTAAAGTCTATCAGAGTCCTTATATCGGTATTTGATTTTTGTCACAGATTGGCATCAACCCAGGACTCTTTGCTGCTTATAAGGGTCACCACTACGCCGGGCCTGGGAACCATTTCTGTAAGTGATCCATTTAATTCTTTTACACATAAGTGTAATCTATACGTTCTTCTTGGCGCGAGTCAAGGTTCGTAAATGCAATTAACGCCGAAGAGGAACCGAATTGCTTTTCCAACGTCGCTCGACGAAAAACTCGGCTGTTCGACCCTTCTTCCTTGGGTGCGTTCCGTTGCGCTGCGTAGCGTAGCGTCGGTGCGCGATCGACCGAACAACGATCATCGGTTATTTTTAACGCAGCTGCTAACCGGACGACGACGCGAACTCCGAAGAGGCATGCCGCGTTGAATCCGCCGCGGCGAGGAGCGATATTGTTCCGTGACTAAGAGTCGTTTGGAACATCGATGGGTTTCAACGATCGACGCCGGGTTAACCGGCGAGAGAAATTCAGTTTGCGTTTTTCGTTGGAGGAAAACCGTGCAAATCGTGGATTCTTGAACGAAGGATAGAGAAGGGTCTCGCGCCGTCTCCATCGAAGCGATAGCTATTAGACGGCGCGTACATGCGCGTGCATTTTACGTCCGCGTCCTGGGTCCGCGTTCGTGTCCGCGCTCGTGCACATCGACCGTTGTGTACGCGATGTACATACGATGCGTACATACTACAGGCGTAGGTGCACGCGTACATATACATATGTAGAGGGCGGACGCTTATACGTGTAGGTAGTATAACGGGTTGTGTACATAGAGAGGGGTAGAGAGAGAGAGAGAGAGAGAGAGAGAGAGAGCTCACGTTCACACATAGGTAGTACATACAGGGTGAAGTTAGGTGTTCGCTGCTGGATTTTCCAGGGTTTTCCCGGGGTTGCGGTAGAGCAGTGGCATGGGGTGGAGGGTAGAGGGTGGTAACGTGTAGGAGGTGGACTGCGAAGAGGAGCGAGTACAGGGGTGGGTGCGGAAGGGTGGAATGGTATAGTGGGGGGAGGAACTATAATGAGTGGTGCGCGCGAGGGAGAGCAGGATAAAAAGGGGGTGGGATACGGGGTACAGAGGGGCGAGAGCTGGTGGAAGCAGCAGGGTAGTACGGAGCACGGGGTAAAAAGGTTGGAAGCTGCGGGAAGCGGGAAACGGGAAACGGGAAGCGGTCGGGGCGGAGCAGGAGGGGTTGGTTGCCAGCAATGGAGAGCAGGAAGAGTGAGCGGGACGAGGAGAGGGTGGATCGAGAACGACGGGTCAATTTAAGCCCCGTGGAGGGAGAACGGGAGAAGCCGGGACCGGGCCTAAAGGCATATAGTAAACGCCGAAAAATTCGCGGTGGTTCAGCCGGTTCGATCGCTCGAAAGCGAGCGCGGTTTCAGTGATCGAGGCGAACGCGCACCGGATCCTGCTCGTCGCGCGCCGTTCTCGTCCCCGTCCCTGTCCCCGTTCCCGTTCCCATCGTTTCTATCCTCTGGTTTTCTCGGTTTCCGGTCCACGGTTCCTAGTCCCCGGTTCTCGTATTCCCAACATCCACCCCCGGCAAAAAACAGTGCGTCGCGTCGCAGAAGTTTAGCTTCTAGTCGCGAGGTGTACTGTGTCGTGATAATTACACGTATCTCGAAAAACGATCAATCACCTTTGCGACCTCCTCGAACTCCACAGCCTACGAAGTCCGCGCAACAGATCGCGCGATTCCGTCGCGTCGCGCGGTGCTCGTTCCCCACGTTCGCGATCGATCGAGGTACGTTCCTGTTCGTACCGACCTGCCGACTCGACACCGGATCGATCCTTCCGATATCGATCTCATCGCGTCGACATTGAGCTCGAAACGCGAACACTAAAAAAAAAAACAGTACACGGAATCTTTCGAGTCGTCGACGAATGGGAATAGGAATATCGCTTCGCGTCCGAGGTTCGCCGCTCGACGGAGGAGAGTAAGCTTCCGGCTTGGATATCATGACGTTGAAAACGTAAGAAACTGCTAAGAATTGCATTAATTTCTCGCTCAAATAAGTACACTTTGTTCGTTACGGTTTTGGTGCTGTAAATTAGAAAGCAGTGTTTTTCACTCGGTTCGACAGATTTCCCTGCAAGAGGAACGGAAGCGGCAGCAGCAGCAGCAAGGGAAACTAATGTTCAAAGTTGGTGGAGAAGTGCGCGAGAAAATCGGAATTTCGTACAGCCTGACGCCGTTCGCGGATGTAAGACGGGACAAACAATGTTTTGAAACAATGCTGTCCGCGCGTAAAAAAGTTTAGTCGGGAGAGGACGGCCTCTCGGTCTCGGCCTCGGCCTCGGCCTCAACCTCGATCGAGACGACAGGACGAAGGGGATGGCGAACCGAGATGGCAAGGGGGATGAGAGTCGGCGAGTGGTCGGTGACCCAATTCGGCTCGACAGACGGCGGGCTTTTCCGAACGGCGCGAAAGTTGAACGTGACCGAGGAAAAGTTTTCGTACTTGTGGCGATCGAGACACTGCGTCCTACCGCGATGCAAAAAGAAATCGACGCTGCGCGTCGCGGCACGGAACCCAAGTGATACGACGAGGTCGAGGGTTCTTTCACCTTCCGTTCTCCACTATTCGTTGCAAATATTTTCGTGTTCCTATCGCAATATCTACTATCAGTCTATTAACCGAATGAACAAATTCCTTTTTGTATCAACGAAACAGTGGACTCAATCTTTCTTGTTTATCTGAATAAATAGAGAGAAAGTGGTAACGATCGTCGCAAGAGTTAAAAAATGAAAAGAAAACGAACTCCGAATCTGTTCGATCGATGGCCGATTTTCGTCTTCGCGGTTTCGACGTGGCGCGACGCGCCGTTCTAAAGTAGAAAAGTAAGTCCAGACTACTTGATACTCGTTAACTTGGAAACTAAAGTTCGAACTCGGGTACTCGCGCTCGAGATTACGTCCTACATCCCTCGACCGTCCGTCGTACTTGGAAGAAAGTACCGCGAGCCAAGTTTTCGTTGGGTGAAAGTTTCTCTGGAGGAGAGACGTCCCGACGAAGATCGCGCCGCCGCATCGCACCGAGCGCGATACTCCATTATACCTTGATTATATCGGCGATCTCGAGTGTTAAACTTCGAACCGTCGCGTCCCGTCGAATCGTCGCTATGTCGACGTTCCGACCCGACGACAAACTCGTGCAAACCAGAGAATTTTTCGAATGCTACGAACGATAGGTTTTCCTTTTCGCATACTTATCGGGCGAGAAAAATGGGCGCGCGTGCCTGGTTTCGCGGAAAAATTTGACGAACCCTGAACACGTCTTCTCGACGAGCATCCAGCCTGGGAAAATATCGGAATCGCGTACAGAATGAAAAGGGCAAGGGGAAGAGAAAAAGAGAAATGGGAAGAAGACAAGAAAAGAAAATCGAGCGTCGGAGAGTGTCTTACGAGTGACCTGAGCGAAAAGATCGAGGAAACCGGCTAAGTGCGTGAGTGGAAAAGGGATGCAAGCCTGACGGTGACGGTTGTCGATGTCGGTGGAAGTAGGAAAGGAGGTGGCGTTGGGTTGGGGTTGCTAGTGGTGGGAACTATAATGAGTGGCGGCTGTGTCGGGTGAAGGGAAGTAAAGGGAAGAGGACGAGGATGAGGGCGGTGAGCTCGTCGGCGAGGGTGTGGGTGAGGCAGAGCGAGAATGCGAAGTGTGCGAGGGACAGAGAGAGAGAGTGAGAGAGAGAACAGGGATTCGAGGAGAGTGGAAAGGAGAGCTGGAGGGGTAGAGGAGATGGCTATGGAGGGTAGGTAGGGTGAAACGAGACGAGCGAAGGGTACAGGTAGCGAAGGAGGGTTGGCCGGTGAGTGTGGGAAAGCGTGTAGCCTCTGCCTCCTCCCTTTTCCACCCATATCGGCCACCCTTCTGCCAGCTTGCTGCTCGGTCCAAAGGGGTTGCCGGGAGGGAACGGAGGGGCCAGAGGGACAGGAAAAAGGGAACTAGAGCTGGTCGAGGGGGCCGAAGGGGTTCGTGGGGTGTCAGGGAAAGCGGGAAGGGGTTGTCGCACGCCTATCCGCTCGATAGCAGCTTTCGGCCTGTGTCGATGAGTTTACTAAGACCACCAGTCCCCCGCTTTTGTGTTCCGTCTTTTCGAAATTTTCACCGCCCCAGAAGGTTCTTCTCGCACGTCGCCAGTGAACGCCGGTCGTCACCTAGATCGATGATTGCACGCGAGAAATCCGATCCGTCGTCGCGTGGCGTCGTCGCTCTAGTGAGCCGCGATCAAGACAGTCGCGCTCGATCGATTGACCACGTTCGCTCATCAGTGTTTACCCGTCGACCAACGATCGATCCGGAGCGCGGCGGATCTTCTTTCCTTTCTTCGATCAAACAAAACCGTTTCAAATTATCCTAGACTCTTTGACGAAACACGTCAGGACGTCTTCTCGGAATAGATGGTACAATTCTTAAAAACACATGTCTACTACACGCGTCTGAGTTTAATACGTGGTTGCTCGCAAATTGTAGCAATTGAAGGGTCTCGCTCTCGTAACGAGAGGAAAGGAGAATGCCGCGGTGCATTTGACGCTTTTCCTAGGTCTCCGTGAGCGGGTCTTCGTCCTGGAAAACCCTGAAAATTGATTTTCCAGGCGCGGTCTCCCGCGGTACCCACGCACAGGTCTCTCTGTCAGTCTCTCCTTTTCTATCCTTCCACATCCATCTCTCTCTCTCCTCTCTCTTTCTCTCTCTCCCACGGTTGCATCGATTTTCACCTGGTTCTCTTCGTATCCCCTGCAGCGAACTCGAACCAACCGTTTATTCAGAATCGGAGGAAAGAAACGGGGGAAAAATCTGGGTCAACAAATTGCAAGAACTCCCTGTGTGTCATTGCGAATCGAACTTTTTAAATTTAGGATCGATCCGAGGTTTATTTCGTCCCTTTTTCTAAAGTTAAAACGAAAAAAGTTTTGGTCTCGCGTTCATCCCTTCTGTTTCCATCAGACTGCGCTGCTCCGTCGAGTTCACGCGTTCGCGTTCTACTAGTTGCCGGTAAGCTTGCTATAGGTACAAAGTACGATTGGTAAGAGTATGGTTAGGAGAACGGGAGAGCGGGAGAACGGGACTGGGAACGCGAACGGCAACGACCACGGTAGACGAGCGAGCGTTTAACTTTGTTCCGAAGTTCTCCAAGGTCGTGTGCCGCGGCTGTAGGTCGGTGGTGCAAGAGGAGGCGAGACTGGGAGGACGAGGGGGAGAGAATTTCCGAGGCCGCGTCATAAATCTCTATCCGCTGGCTGCCGTGCCGAGTCGAGTTAGGGATAGACCTTACGGGATATACGCGATCCGACTTCGGCTTCGAGAATATCTCTAATTTTACGTCATCGAATCCCACTCTCTCTCTTCTTTATTTTTCTACTATGTCTCTCCCTCTACGCGAATTATCTCCTTTCGTCTTCGAAGCTCAGACGATTTTGTTTCTCCTCGTTACGCGAACACAACGCATCGTCCAATTTGATCCGCGATTTGATTTATACAATATTTTTCATCCAAACTAATTTGACTCTCGTTTCGCATAAATGTTGGCCGAACTTAACAACGCAGCGGTGACGTAAATTACATTTTATCTGTAGTTCCCACTCGCTATACATAGCACGTCTCTCGCGTGAACCGACCGTAGGCTAAAGAAAATCTTAACTTTTCTTTTGTAATCCCAATGTCTCTAACCATCGATTAAACAACTTTTTTTCAGGGAAGTGCTTGCACCTCAGCGGATTAACTCCAGAACCACTGACGGCGGATGACGACTACAAGCTTTTGCGCTTTGGTATCGGTTTCACGAATATGGTGGCTCGCGCCACCAAAGGCAGCGCTGATCTCACGAGAAAAGAAATTAAAGAAGGTTAGTAAGCAGGTAGACGAAAAAAGAAAACGCCACGCGCAGTTATGAGACGAGGCGCGACACGTCTCGTGCGCATGGGTGTAGATAAGCAAAAACTCGCTTGATTCCGTTCTGTAACGAACCACCCAATGAACCCGGCCGAGCTGAGTCGTACGTTTCGTACCGTACGGCGTCCCAACGCACATATGGGATAAGAAAACAAGACCGTTCGTAGAACACATAATCTCTGTACCCTCGGTTGCAAGGCAACGACGGATAGCGGTGTCCAATGCCCCCCATGACTCCCCAATCTGATTCACCGATAGACAGTATAGCGTCGAACGTACAGTAGCACATCATGTATCACGAGTATAAAGTATAAATATACTTCAACTGTTTGATGTTAGAAACACGATCATGAAAATTTGAGCTAAGCACTCATGTTTCGGGTAACCTATTCCTCAAAATGGTGGAGGCGACAAAGGTGGAAGACAAAATTGTCGTTTCGGGTATCGATTTTTCTGGGATATATATAAATAAAAAGATTTCAGCTTCGTATTCTACGAGCTCGCGAGTATCACATGACGACTGACGTTGAAATGACCGACGTAAAAATGACGGACTCTTTGTTGGTGAATATCAAAATGGAACACTCTGTAGACACTTAAACTGATGTATTCAATGTTGGGTATTCAGCAGTTGACGAAACTATCACAGCAGCGACGTGTGGATTTATATTCTGTTTATTAATTAATACTTTATGAACTAATCAAAACCCAAAATTGAATACTTTTTATTTGATATTTTCTTACCTTGTGGAAAATCTCAGCTGATCATGTTAAATGCTCTATATATATAAACCGACCATGTTTGATAGTGTTTATTCATTTGTTCGTAGTGCTTATCGTTTTTTCCACCATTTTGTGTTTCAATGTACTTACTTTCGAAATGTATTAAATAACATGTAAACACACATAAACGCGTAACAAAACGTATATGCTCCGAAATGTAAGGGCTAACCTCACGATTTTGATAGGATCTGATTCACGAAGTTTGTAGGAAGCAGTCAGAAAAAGTCTTACCCTGAACGTAAACGTTTCGGAGCCACAAAATACGTTTCTGTATACACAACGCTATGCAAAAACACAGTCTAAATTAGTTTTCTGTCTATAATATGTATCAATATACGTGCGTGCGTATAGCCTCGCATGATTTACAAAAGCCTCGTCAATCGTTTAGTCTCAGCGAAGGAGAAAACGATACAATGAAAAGAAATGTAAACAAATAAGCAACTATTTATCGATAAGTGTCGGTTACTTACCGCGTAACGCTTCTGGATCTCTGCCAGCGACAAAGAGGCTTGCCAGCCACGTTTTGATTCACAATCGAAATGTTTCGTTCACTAAACTTTCTCCACTCATCACCTGTTGCCGGTGGATCCGAAGGTAGAAGACGAGATGGAGTCAATACCGCGTTGTTTGCACTATTTATCGTTAACAAAACAAACATGAAACGCTCTTACCGATGAAAATCGATTGAGGCAAATCGCGATCTTCACTGATCGTCGCCGGCCCGACAGCGGCAACGGTAGCGGCAGCGCAGCGGGCACGAGTAAAATCAAACAAGAGTGAAGCAGCGGCAGAATAGAACGAGAATGAGAATATGGGAATGGGATAGAATACGCGGCGGTATACTATGGCGGGCTGGCGGCACGCGGGCGCGGGATCAGTGTTGCCAACAGAGCTCATCGAAATTCTCTCAGTCACGTGACTAACGTCGTGTGTATCCAAAACCGGCGCGATTAAATGAATGTATGTAGTATTTATCATGTGTGGAATATGGACATATATATGTATATATATATACACACACACACACAATCCACACAAACAATACATATATATGTATTATATATATATATGTAACATAATACATAAGTTACTTATGCGGCCGCGTGGTGAAAGACGCTCGAACAGTGGGGAGCAGGAGCATTCTTCCTCTTTCTGTTCGGTAGACGATGCTAGCTGACCGATCAGATCGGTTGTTCTTGTCAACGAGAAACAGAACGAGACGATTCAGATTCATACAGAGGGTAAAATCGTACATTTAACAATCTAAATTTTACTATGTAAACGTTTTTTCGGCACCCTAATCGTGTAAAGCTAGATTATTTGTGTTTTACACGTGTGTTTATATATATTTTGATTATAGAAAAAATTCCAATGACAGTACTCAACCTATTTTATACAGAAATCGAAGTACTTCAAAAATGATATGTTTATGCATATAATATTTTTATGAGAACAAAGTTATATTCTGATGCAGATTTTGATCAGACACGAATGACTTAGCTTTACACAGTGAGGGTTAAAAAGAAATCGTAAAATTTATGACCAGCGAACCGTTCGAAAATGTTACTAAATTTCTGTTCATTTTTATAGGTAGTCACATTCTGTTAGAAAAGTTGCGGAAATACAAACCGAAGATCGCCGTCTTTAATGGTAAACTGATATACGAGGTATTCTCTGGGAAAAAAGAGTTTGGATTTGGTAGACAACCCAACTTGGTCGAGGGCACCAACACGGTAAGGCGAATTCTTATACTTTCAAATATGTACATTGTACACCCTATACCCTACGAATTAACGAACCGATATTTGATTTCAGTACATGTGGGTGATGCCATCAAGCAGCGCGAGGTGCGCGCAGCTTCCGCGAGCGGCAGACAAGGTGCCGTATTATGCGGCCCTTAAAAAGTTTCGCGATTACTTGAACGGCACCATCTCCCATCTGGACGAGTCTGACATCGTGTTCGCGGACTCGAAGCTGAAGAAGAAGGATCAAGACGCGATCGAGGACAAAAAGCCTACGTTCTGCGACGGATTAATGCACGACGGAGATGGTAGAATTTCCGAGGTGAATGGGAATGGCATCAAACAGGAACCGAATTCTCAGATACCCGGCAAGAAGAAGAGGGGTAGACCAAAGAAGATAAAGAATCCGGAGGATCAACCACCACCCGATCCCGAAAAATTGGACGCGAATGGGGAAGTGATAAAGAAACGACGGGGACGACCGAAAAAGATTCATCAACAGCAAAAGCAGCAGGAGCGAGAAATCAGAGAACGAGAGCATCTCCAACAGCAGCAGCAGCAACATCACCACCATCAACACCATCACCATCAACAACAGCAACACCAGGGCATGGGTCACATGGGGGACGGTTACGGAAACGTAGTACCCAACTGTTTTTCTCCGCCGAAAACGTTCGCACACATGGCTCCCTATCCACAACAGATGAACGATTCCGGATATTACGGACAAGGAATGAACGATAGTCCTTATAGTATGAATGCGAAACAGAGTCCAGTGCATCTGCAACACTACAGCCAAAGTCCGAAATCTATGTCGCTTTCGTTTACCCATTCCGATCTGTCTTCGGAGATTAATACCGCGATCTCCTCCGAGAACAACTTGGAGCCGTCGCCGTTGACTTCGCCGAGTGTCGAGCACCCGGATTTCGAACCACCTACGAGTATGTCCCAGCAAACGATGAATAACGATCATCGCCAGTACAATCCGGCCGGAAACGGTGATAATCCCGGTCATCACGGTAGTCCAGGAACCCCGACCCATCCGAGCTATGCCAGTTACATGGGTTACCACGAACAAGCGTCCGAATCTCACAACCCTCATCCACATCAGAATACGTCGACGCCGTTGAGCCAACCCGCCGACGAGCACTCGCATCACTCTCATCCTACTCCGCCACACACGCATCCACATACGCCGACTCATGCGTCGATGTCGCCTCATCATCCCCACGAGCAGTACGCGACGATGAAGAGGAACACCGGACAGGACGTCGCTTCCAAGAGTCTCAGCGATCTCGAATCTCTAGTCGACCAGATACCCAGTATAGCCGATGGTGGCAGCCAACGTCTTCAGCATTCGCATCCTGGGATGAACGATGACGGGTCGATGTCGGAGAAGATGGAATCGCATCATCAGTCTTATCTCTCAGGATTCTCCGGAATGTCGAACGTCGGCATGTCCAACTACAGTCCCCCTCTGGGACCCTCAGGTGCTGCCTATCCAACTTCGCTACATCATTCTCCCAACGACGGTTATAACTCACTTTACGGTACGAATGGACGTCAAGATTCGCAACAGCAACAGCAGCAGCAGCATCAGCAGCAACAACAACAGCAACAGCAGCAGCAGCAGCACAGCAAATCGTATACCGTTGAAAATCTAGCGTCTAGCAATTATACGCCAAGTATGAGTGGACACGCTGGTAATTCGTATCCAAACATAATCCCCAGTCCTCATTATCCGGTGCCGATGGGATCGACGAACGGATATCTTTTCGGTGGCCTCGAGTCGAGCTTGATGCAACGCACTTACGGAATGGGCGGTATGGGAGGCATGGGAGGAATGCACCCAAGCCTCGGTCACATGACCAATCCTTATTCTTACAACGGTTCGTATTCTAGTTCCTTCGACGCCTATCCGGCACCACCCAGCGGGATTCATGCGCCTAGTGCAAATTATCCCGGTGGTTACGGTAGCACGACGTCAGGTACTTCGACGCCACCATCATACCTCCCCTCTCATCATAGGCCGTCGGTCGACCTCGCTTATGACGGTGTATGATAGTAATCTATGTAAACCTATTCGACTTACGTACTCGCATATATGCACGCTCACACGCGTATTCGCGAACACACAGCTACACGTACTTGTAGTAGGTATGTACTATGTACTTGGGAAGACACGTATAGACAAGAACAGTGAGTGGACGAACAAACACACGATTCGAGCGCTGCGTTTATCTTTTCTACGTATTTTTACACGTTTGGAATCCGCCAGAACGGCTCTTTTTGGCGCGATTCGTTGTGCTACGATTTGCGCGTCTGAAACACGTTCTCGAGCTTTTTTAGCTTTCCTCGATCCCTGCTTGCCTGTCTGCCTGCCTATGTACCCATCATCCTTCTTTTGCATTTCTCCTATTTTCCCTCCTTGTTCTTTTCATCCGGCTCGAATAACGATTATGTCGCGAGTAAATGATTGCCACCAAGTACGAGACACTTTCATATATGTGTTACGTTACGAGCCTGGATTCTGTTTAAGTTAACGCGATTTCAAAAGCGGCGTACGAGCTCGAGATGCTGCTCGATCCTTTTCACAGTGATATCATGCATCGATCGTCGATAATGAGAGATAAATCAAACGTTAAGATTCACTTTTTTCATGTTACGCTTACGTTATTGTTGAAATGCGTTCCGACGGTTCCACTTCAACGGCAAACACGTCCAATCTCATGCTGTTTCAATGAATCGATTGTTGTATTATAATATATGTACAATACATTTTTGTTCAGAACCAGTGGATTGTTACAATTTTTTTCGTTAAAATCGTTAGAATTTATTCCACGCGTATATACATATACATACATGCTATACTTGTTATCATAGTCTCCTCTTTCTCCGTTACTTTCGTTATAGACTAGTGGATAATGGACTAATTTTCGCGTGACTCATCGCGCGGATAACGTATTGGCTTCAACCGGCAAGTAAAATCAGTCTCGACGAATTCTCGAAGTTGCGTTGGTAAATTAATGCTGATTAAAAAATTATACAACCGTAAATGAGATGCGAGTGACAAGATCATAGCATACAAGTGAGACTGCTATCGAAGATAGTAAGCGGTGCCATTCGCTTTCCGAGTATTTTTTTCTTTTTATGGACCAATGAGCAAAATTTATATATCCGAATTAATGAATTCGAACGTTAGGGCGCTCGGACCCGACAAATGTCGATCGAAACATTCACGTGTACATAATTTGTCCGATAGCGTTGGAAAAATATCAAAATACCTTTCGTTTCGTTACGAGTGCAATTTTGTAGATACGACTGCTCCATCGTATCGTGAACATGCATATTATATTACATACACATGTATACTCTGTACATGTGTATATAGCTAGTATGTATGTACTTATGCACATGCACGTATGCATATACATACAGCGTATGCGCTACAGACAGATTATATTATATCGAAGCAATAACGCGTATGCGCGTGTGCACATGATTAATCGTAAACTGTATCTATATGTTTAATGCGAATCTAGTCAATCCGATTCGTTGAATCGTGGCAAATTATCGCGGTAATCGACCGAGTAATTTTGCGTACGGATCAAGAGCCCGTACGCGCACGAGAGTCGAAACGATGCAACGGACGTAAACCCGTACTGGTGTCTTTCCTCCTGCGCCGTGTTTTACAGTTGAAAACGTCCAAGCCAGACGTACGTAGAACGTCCGTCACGTCGTGTCGATGATGCAAAAGGAGTTTAAATCCTTAAATCGGAGAAATCGGTGACCGATCCGTTCGATCGATAGAGACAGCGAATTTCGCGCGACTTCTCTTCCTCTCGAGAAAGAAGAGACGCGACCGAATCACAATCGAAATTAAACGAATTCAATTCTAATCTGAATCGATGACAATTTTTCTAAGTAAATTAATTTGTTTTGTGTACAGGTCGCGATCGCTTTCGCATATACATCGTACAGTCGATCGTAAACGTGTAAAATGTGAGATCTGTGGCTTCTCGAGCTATCTGTATGTATATGTATTGCCAACAAAGTGCATTACATGATCATTAATTATCGCAGTCGTGATTGTTAATTATTGGCATTGATACACGAACAGGACTGGCCGGGCGGAAATTGGAAAGATCGATCGAACCACGAGTCACGAATCACGAGAACGATCGAGGAGAAGAAATGGGTCGTTATATTATAATCGTTACTAGATTCGGTAAGCATCCTCGCTTTTGTACCTCGCACGTTCGCTTACAACTGTAACCGTAATCGTTCTCGTTGCAATTTGTTTATCGGTTAATCGTTATCGATTATCGACGTGCCGCTGTAAATGTAAAGAAACATACATAGAATACGTTACCGATTTTTACAGTTATCGCGTTACCTTATCTCGTTAATTGTACATTAAATTGCTACGTTTCGAGCTACCGAGGATTACAATGTTTATCGTAACACGATCACGAACCAATCGATGTAGATCTGTGTAGATGTACGATCGGCATTCCCCTTCGTCGCTAATCAACGCTGTAAAATTCCGCATCTGGTGTAATTGTATGGGACAAAAAGAAAAATGAAAATTGTATGTGCACGCGTACGTGTAGACGAACGTATGGGACAAAATGATCAAAATGAAAATGAGAAATGACTGTGAAATCGGTAAATAGGTTTACATACGTTAAATGTGCATACGTGTGCGCACGTACGCGTGCCTATACTTACTGAATATATATAAATATTATATATTGATTATCTATGATAAGCGAGAAACATTTATCAAGTAATCACATAAGATGTGTTGAAACATTTAAAATGCACAGGGTATAGATGAGAAAATCGTTGATATAATAACTGATGTCTATATAAATAGGTCTCTGTATACGTACAGAGTTTATCGCGTGTTCCACCCATCGCGAATCAAATCTGCAAACAAAACTTCGTGAAAGTGGCACCAAACGGATTTATATTGTAGGTATTTATCCGTAGGTTTATCGCGATGCATTAGAACCGCGATGGAGTCTCTGCGTACATGGAAGTCTAATGAATGTTTCTTTTGTTCAATCGGCCTCAAGAACACACAAAGCGCGTACGACCGATAAGTAATCTATGGTATCTACATAGATGTTTTTCAGATTAAAACGGGGCAGTTCTAGTTATAAGTGTCGTCGGTGTTAATCGTTTGTCGATAATGAAATGGATCGAAGGAGAAATAAGGAGATTCGAATAAAATGAAACGAACGAAAAGCAAGGAAAAAGGAAGGCAGTGAAACCAGGAATAACGCATGCCGTAACCTGCGAAATTCCTACGAATTAATCGAATTCGATCGATTGTGTAAATTGAGATGCTAAAAATTAAGTATAAATACATTATACAGATTTCAAAGTGATTTCGCTGTTGATTGTATCGAAATAATAACGGCAAAATAATGATAGTAACGTTAATGGTAATGATAATAACAATAATAATAATGGTAATAATAATAACAGTAATAATAAAGAGGAACAGAAAGAAAATGAAAATTGAGAGAGAAAGGGAGAGAGAGAAAGTGAGTGAAAGAGCGAGAAAGAGAGAGAGAGAGAGAGAATTCGTGCACAAGCGAGTAGAGAGCTTGGGCCAAAATCGGCCTCTGACATATTTTTTAATCGCTTCGAACCTCTAATTACTCTATCTTATAAACTTAACGATGTATTAAAGATTAAACTTAATGGTGCGAAAGTCTACCTACCGTATAGCTTAAACAATCGAGCAGTCAATCGTTGGCGGTTAATCCTACCCTTCGCTTGTACCTTAAACCTTTTTCAGACCCGGTACGGACGAGCAGGTTTTACGGACGCGTTTTCCTGCCGCGGTCGTCTGTCTTTCTTTGCTTTCACAATTAAGTAAACGAAGATAAACACGCGATCGTAGAAGGAAAATTCTGTCGCAAAGCCGCTCGTTCGAACCGGGCCCAACCATTTCTCTGTTACGATAACGATCGCGTCATTGTCAATGTTAGTATCAGTGTCGGTCCGATCGTTCGGATTACATACTGATTGTGAGATATATGTTTTATTACGAATAACGACCAACGACGATGTGCTTGCTGTTCGCTGCAGGAAACACGGGAAAATGAAGCGACCAACACTTTATTATTTATGTTCCACACGTTTCACGCGTTTTATTCCGTTTCTGTTAATTTCGTTCCTCCTTTCACTCATCTTGTCCAATTACATCAGCATGTTACGTCCACCGTACAATTTCCCAACAATAAAATTAAACACGAACAATATGACCGTTATCATTACTTCGAAAGAATTCAAGAATATACTTTTATTAGATTGTTTCTTCTTCTTTATCCCTCTTGTTCTTTTCCTCCTTTCCATCCGTTATCGAATCGCGATTATACGAACATAAATTGATTTTGTTCGAGTCTCGTGTACTTACGTATGTAAGTTATACATACGTGCAGTTGTACGATGTACATATGTGTCGTGTATATACACGAATAATCCGAGGAACAGGTGCGACGAAATTGTAAAATTCGTCAGGTAGTCGGAGTTTATACTTCGGGTAACCGCAATAGGATTTTTAAGGATTTTAAGTCCTCGAGTCTCATTTAAACCTGTACGAAATTCTGTACAATTTCAACAACCACACTTAGTAGGACAGTAGGACGCACATTGGCAACTCTAGTGGATAATCCCGGGTGCGGTAAAAAAGGCAAGGGTTTTAAAAAGTGTCAGTTTCAACTACCTGACGAATTTTACGACCCCGCTACATCTGTTTCTCGTCTACAACTTGCATGGTATCTTGCACGCTGCTGAACAGAGAAGTCGTGAAAATGGAAAGACGGAAAAGGAAAGACGCGATATGCGATCGTCCGATCGACAAACAAAAGACAAGACAAGAGGCACAAGTAAAATGAACTGGATTTGTTCTAATCCTTCGAAACTAATCGAAAGTCGGTAGGATTTTGTTGACTGCTAATTATCGGAGAGCAGCGTATTAGAAACGTCGTGTATGTGTACGTATGTATGTATTCGCTATCATCGATGTGAAATTTTAAGTTTGGAGAACCGATTATCGACTGGTTATACGTACTTGCATGTCGCATGGTGCGTATACATACATAATTATTACACGAAGAAGTTTACCAGACAATTTAATCCAGTTCTCCAGTATGTATTAATGGAAAACGTCTGGAAGAGTTCTCCAATTTTTCTTTTTCGATTCTTAAGAGGAACACATAAAATTAGGAACTTCAACGATTTCGAAATCAAAAATTTCAAATAAATCTCTTTATTCTTCCAAGTATTTGATACACGTGCAATCTACAAATTGTACCTAACGATAATGTATTGCTCAGCTCAGTATCGGGATGTTTCGATCGCGAAACCGCGAGAACCGTAACTTTTACTGAAATCTACGTGTAGTAAAGTGTAATCACTGTCGCGAATAAGACTCGAAAAGTAATATACGATGTTGATTATGATTTTATGTTCTCTCAATTCCGTTCCGATATTTTCCAACTTTCCGTACAAAATATTCATCACTTACTATTTACAATTAGCGCCTTCTCAACGCTTACAATTTACAATGTTTCGTTCATTACTGTCCAAGAATGATCGTAACGATGTCATTAGCGAGAGAAGAATGTGTTTGCATAGCGTCGCGTGAAACCAAAACAAACATCGCATCAGTGAGAAAGAAATGCCGAAATCGCTATTGTGTGTTTAACTGTATGGTATGACGAGTGAATGAACAAGATCGCATTATGCAATTCTTCTTGTAAATTTTAAATATAACGAATCCTGTGGAGACACTTCTCTTTTTAGGCTCACTTTACCTGAGTCATTGGCAGTTTGTGTCAAAAAATAAATTGATTCGTTAAAAGAATTAGCTGTTCTAAACTTAATCATTACCTATACTACGTATTTTTTGTCTTCTAAGTATTTATATACAGATAATTCATTGGATTCTAGGCTCATTTCGCACGCATACATAGATGTGGCACATTCGCGTAAATCCGAATAGCAGCGATGCATGAAAAGGTTTAAAGCTAGACAAAGAGCGTGCCACATTTTCTATGTATGCGTCCAAAATGGATCTGGAATTCAATGAGTATTCCGTACATACATACATACATACATACATACATACATACAATTGTATAATACATACGTTCTGACGATTGTGGGTATTTTGTGATACTGCACTGTGACATTTCTTTTCTACACCAAGTCCAATAATACGAAAATATGAGTAATTAACATCTAAATACGTTTCACAATGATGAAAGTCATAACTTTACTGTTATCGTAGAAATCAATTTATTTATAGTGGTTTGGTTGAATGCTCTTTACGTTGGCACAGCATACAGTGAATGAGTTTCGTGACTATATTCAGGGCGAGGTGCGGTATTTCACACATGCGCACTCAAGATCGGAGTGTTGAAAACGGCAGAGTTTCTCGTCTCTACTTCGTGAGAATTAGGATCAGGAATGGGGATGGGAACTGGGGGGATTGGGATTGGCGTCATCATGGTGTGTGGGTCGGTGCGTTTTTAAGATACGAGTTTGTTTTCAACCGGATGAAGCATCAGGACTTTTCTTGTTACGGTGATGCTTGTACACAGAGCGTTATCATTGTTTAAAGTGTCATCGGTATGGCGAGGAGCGTCGGTGCACGATGTGCAGTCGCGAAATAAATTTTAAGCGGAACAACGCGACAACGATGCACACGATGTCGGAACGGATCTCTCGTCTACGTCGGCTTGTGCGGAAATACGAATGGACGCTTGTTGCATTGTCGTTATTGTCGTTCGTGATCCCGTCGCACGGTGGAAAACTCGATAGTGTGTCGTATGATAATCTGAAGAATAACCAGTGCCCCGTTGAATGTGGCTGTCTTGGCAATGTGGTCGACTGCAGTAGCTTGCAATTGATTGGTGCACCCAGCGGGCTACCACCATGGACAGAGATCTTGTGAGTAAATAACTGCGACTTATTCTATTCCTATTCTCTCTCGACAGAACTCGCGTTCTAAATTACCTATGAACTCTCGTTGTTCTTTCCATTTCACAAACCTTTCTTCGTCTTCGCTTCTATTTGTGTTTTCGGTACGTCTACGTAAATACAAATAGGTACCCGATGCCTGTTTTGTCTATGCGCTTACGTTTTTTCTTTTCGATACTGACAATGGATCTCACAATACACTACGTAATATTTATTCTTTATATATGTCAGTTGCGTTCCAATCATTACAATACTATGTATCAATTTATGTTAAACGTGTAAGATATTTTATTGTTAAAAAATGCGCATATACAGCGTAATACGATCTAAGAAGATAAGATAATGCGAACGGGGAGAATTAGTTACACAGAATATGTTTTAATTTATATACAATGATACTACTTTAATTTTGTTGAATAAAACAATGTGCGTACGCGAATACTTTATGAAACCTCGTAATTAGGATATTCTTCTCGTCATAAGAAATACAAATGATATAAGCAAACATTTTTTTTAAATTAATTATCGCACATGATATATTATTTATAACTCATTGATTATCTTAAATTTATGCACATTGTGTAAGATGAAAATTTAACAAATCTAGATGCAATAAGATAAATACTTAAGTAGGAGATTTATTTTCTCGTTAAGATTACTTCGTATTGTAAATAGAGTAAAATACTGCGTATAGACTATGAGTATACGTGCTTTTATCTTTTAAAATAAGAATCGAGTTCTCCCTTTCTGCAAATATCGTAAAGATCGATAAGGATTTATGAACTATGTGCGACAGCATGTAGCGATATGGATTTATCAAGACTTTAGCTTATAGCCGAGAAGATCAAAATTCATTCGATGCAATTTAGTCTTTTAAGAAGCGGGAGGAGCCTAAATTAATTTTTTTGCAGAGAGCTAAAGGAGAATAATATAGCTAGCTTGGAACCCGATGCTTTGTCGCATTTAAATAAATTAAAAGAATTGTAAGTATTTTCCTCGGTAATTTTAATGTTTTCTTAGGAAGATTCTCTAAACTTTTATTTTGGCAATCGTTTAAGGGACCTTAGTGCCAATAAATTTGGAGATAACTTTACTGTCGTTCTATCGGAAGCTACGTCCTTGCAAGGGCTTAAAGTAAATAAGAATCTATTGACAGAAATACCGGACATGTATTTTATTAAAAATATAACACACCTTGCGCTGTAAGTGTATCACGTTTATCACTGAATCGTGTAAAGTTTGCCCCTTTCTCCCCGCCTTCCATCTTTATGATATGAAAATGAAATCTATTCTTGCAGGAGTCACAATTCTATTAGTGTTATAAATGGGACTGCGTTACTCACCTTGCAGCAGCTTCAGAATTTGGATCTCAGTGGAAATGAAATAAGCGAAATTCGAAATGGATCGTTTCTTGCTCCCAATTGCATCACGCATTTGTACGAAACTTTTGACCAACGTGTTTTATAACGTCATATTTCAGATGGTTCTGCGATTTATTTTATTTCTCTTATTACAGAAACTTGAATATGAATCGAATAAAAATAATTGAGAATGGAAGTTTAGACAATCTGACCTGCCTGGAAGAATTGCGATTGAACAAAAATAACTTGACCCAGCTGAAGGATCTGTTTACAAATTTGTCTAAATTACGTATATTGTACGAAACTGTTCCATAATGTTTTACGATTTCCACAGTACAGATCACGCGCCACGCGTGCGATTAGATAAAAGAATGTACTATGTCATTTTTTTTTTAGGGAATTAAACAAAAATGAACTGCAGATGGTACAAGCGCTTAGCTTGAAAGGTTTGACAAATTTAGAGGAGTTGCGGTTGAAGAGGAACAAGATCGAAACGTTAAACGATGGCGCGTTCTGGCCTCTTGACAACTTGACGATACTGCAACTCGACTTTAACTTGTTGACCGTGGTGAGAAAAGGTGGCCTGTTTGGATTAGGACATTTACAAAAGTTGACACTGTCGCACAATCGAATAAGCACGATCGAAACTCAAGCATGGGACGGGTGCAAGGAACTCGTAGAGTTGTTCGTACTATTTTTATTACACTCGGTTATCGTATCCCATGTTCAATGCAATCGTAATCGTGGTAATCTGTTTCTCAGGGATCTATCGCATAACGAGTTATCGGCGATCGGGCGAGGTACTTTCGAATTCTTAGAAAAATTGGAAAAGCTTAAGCTGGATCACAATCAGATTACCTACATTTCGGACGGCGCGTTCAGTTCTACTCCCAGTCTACAAATATTGTATGTAAATTGTATTTTGAGTATAACAATAATACAAACACCTGAACACTTCCGTAATAGTAATTTTATTCTTATTGCCAAAGGGAGCTCAATTACAACAAGATTTCGTACATGGTGGAGGACACAAATGGTGCCTTTGATTCGTTAGGACAGCTATGGAAATTAGAACTCTCTCATAATAAAATAACCTCAGTAAACAAGAATGCGTTCAGCGGATTAAGTAGCGTAACCGAACTTGACTTGACTGGGAACGATGTAACCAGCATTCAAGAAAATGCGTTCGCTTCGATGACCAGTCTGATCAAACTGAGGATGAACTCAAGTCCGTATAACACGTACACACGTCGCATAATCGTTTGCATTTCTGTGCGTTTCTAATTCAGTTCTTTCTTTTTACGTGTATAGAAGCATTAGTTTGTGATTGCGGCTTACAATGGCTGAGTATGTGGTTGCGCGAGCATAGATATAGCGACGCAGAGGTTTACTGCGGATATCCACATTGGTTACAAGGAATGTCGTTGACCCAACTTCATCATAAGAATTTTACATGTGGTTGGTATAGCAGCACTTAGGTTTTGATGCATAATCCTCGACCACGATTCATTACTGGATGTTTTTCCATATAGATGAGTACCCAAAGCCAAGAATTATTCAGGAGCCGAAAAGTAAAATGGGAATCAAAGGGGATAATGTGACGTTGACTTGTCGAGCAACGAGTACCGCTAGTGCCCCGCTTCACTTTACCTGGAAGCACGATAACGTTGAGATCGACGATGACAGTTTGCAAACATATACCGATTTAACGGCAAACGGGATTAAAGAGGCTTCCTCGACTTTACATCTTACTAATGTTACACATGCGAATGCTGGAAAGTATCAATGCATGGTCGGCAACACTTACGGAACGACCTACTCGACCAAGGCGAAGATAAGCATTTTAGGTGAGCTCTCAGTCATCTCCATTTGCCTTTCACTCATTTCAAGAGTCAGTCGATTAAATACACGTTCCATTTATACACAGTATATCCATCTTTCTCAAAAATACCTCACGATATACGCGAGGTTGCTGGAAGCACTGCCCGGCTTGAGTGTTCCGCAGAAGGGCAACCGTCGCCTCAGATAGCCTGGCAGAAAGATGGGGGAAACGATTTTCCAGCTGCGAGAGAAAGGAGAATGCATATGATGCCAACGGACGATGTCTTATTTATCGTCGACGTCAAGACTGCCGACAGCGGCGTTTATTCGTGCACCGCACAAAACCTCGCTGGAGTTATAGTTGCGAATGCTACTCTTACTATACTTGGTAAATATCAGAATAAAAATTCGTCTTTATTCATTGATTTAATAATGTCGGTGTTCTTGCATTTTCTCTTTCGTTTACAGAAACACCATCGTTCGTGAAACCAATGGAAAATAAGGAGATAATGGTCGGTGGTTCGATCGTATTGGAGTGCATGGCGAGCGGCACGCCTAGACCAAAATTATCTTGGCGCAAAAACGGCAATCCTTTGCAAGCAACCGAGCGACATTTCTTCACTGCTGAGGACCAATTGTTAATAATCGTCGATACTAAAATCAGCGACGCCGGCAGTTACGAATGTGAAATGAGTAACTCGTTAGGTAGCGTCGTCGGCGCGTCCCATCTTACTGTGAAACCAGGTAAAGTTATTTCTATATGGAAATATATGGAATCCGGATCTCGGTCTTGACATAAAGACTTAATCGTTTTCTACAGCTCCTGCGTCGACTCCCAGTCCCATGTCAGTGAACGAAGACGATATACTCGGTTTAATAATAATCACCATAGTGTGTTGCGCCGTTGGCACGTCCATAGTGTGGGTGGTTATAATTTACCAAACCCGGAGACGGTTGAACGCTGTCACGCAGGCTAGAAACAATCAGCAACCGTCGACGGCTATCATCACGGGTGCCACGGTAGCCGACACGCAGACGCATTTATATTTGGAAACGAGTTCTCAGCATAGCAAAGACAGCGGTACTGGGGATAGTACCAATCCCAGCAGCGACCAATTGCAATTATGTTTACCCGGTTAGTATGTTAATCTCTTTTCGTTATTTCTAATTTATTCTTTCACACTGACGTTTTCTTAACAATACTGTGTTCAGAAGAGATCGTTACGTGTCCAACGGGGAACAACGAAGAAGAAACTAACACGGCGGTGAACGTAGGAGCTCCGTTATTGAGATACACGAACCACGAGCGACAAGATCACGAAGATAAAACTTGCTCCGTTTAGGAGCAGAGACTTCAAGTACGTCTATAATCTACAATACGTCTCTCTCTCTCTCCCTTATCTCCTTCTGCCTTTTCTCCATCTCCGTCTCCCTTTTCCTTCCCTTCTCTTCTCAGGATCGAAAATTCGTCCTCTTTGTATTCTGCGCAAACAGTTTTTCGTTTGATGTACTATACGTACAAAGGTCCGTGAAATTGACAGGATGGTAGATCCTAATACGATCTTTATTTACCCATCGAGGTGAAGTTGAAAGCTTGTTGAAAAAATAAGCGCAGGCGGTTAGAACGTAGTATCGTATATCATCATCGTCACGAGTACGACGACGACGACGACGATTATTACAGTATCGACGTACCATTAAGCAAAGCAAACTGTTCAATGCCGTGACTGGTCCCCCTCGTCGTCTTTTACATTTATATTTTTACGTTATTATATTATTGTATTGTGCTGTATGATATCAACAAGTTGGATTCATCGGACGACATCACTCGATCTTGATCTCGATCATTTCGTCGTATTCGTTACGGCGAGTTCCGAGTAGTTCCTCCCAAAAGCGATACGCAAATCCGAAAGGAAGTACATGCACGTTACGTACGTATGATTTGTAAATATATCTAACATAAGGTAACTAACGCGTGGCAACCAGAAAGTAATTTCTATGTAAATAACTGGCAGTGTCGTTTTCAAGTAGAAAGATACGTATAAGTTCCAGGTGTATCAGGAATCAAGTGCAACGCGCGCAGAACCCACTTACGTACATATATAGACCAGTCTTTTGTGATAGATATTTATTTTTAGGATTACGTACCTATAATTGCTGTTAGTTCTCCCCGAAAAGTGTATATTATTTATATTATTGTAATTATGTAATAATGGCCAGCGAGACGCGAGGCCCACGCACACGAATTCATGTACGTAGACCGAAATACGTCGTCCATGTACTGTGAATTGATTGCGCACCAAAGTATTCTGATGCAGTAGATATGTATGTATGTACTTCGTGATTCGTCTTCCCTGTCCCTTTCATTACTTATCCGCAGCCATACACTTGTGTGGCGCACAGAAAAAGGTATTGAAAAAAGAATACATAAATCGATCGAACGGCTGTACGTCGTCTATTCGAGTACGTGGCCAATTATTCTACAAAAATTGCGCAAACTCGCCATCGTATCAATTATATATCAGTGATAAATTGTACAATTACATTTTTCTATAGCGAGAATCTCGCGTTTCGGCTTCTGCGCCTGACTGTGTGTGATACACCAAATAAGGTACCCGGCGTTTAATTCAGTATTTTTCCTTGTTGTACGTGGTATAATGTAAAGAAATATAAATAATCTATCAAGATAACGTTTTACAAATGAATTCGCCCCCGTATTTCCTTGTATACGATATTTCGGTGAAGAACAAACTTGGATCGTTTTTCCTTTTTCTTTAAAACTTTATTTACCAACGAGCAATATTTCGTTTAAAATATACAATTGCTGATACATGTATACGTGCATAGAAAAAAAGAAGAGACGGATTCCACGAAATCCTTAAATGATACGCCAGCGTATCATAACTATCTTTTGATCTTCCTTAACGCGAAAACGCGAATGTATGTATGTACATATATCGTTTTATATTTTATTCTATCGTATATACACATGTACGCATTTCTTACGTACCTTTGTTACGCCTCGATTTCGGTATTCCTGCTTACACTATCCTATATGTATGTATACTCGTACGTACATGTATGATGAGTATAGAAGCGCGCGTCACAAATGTTCGTAAGTAGGAGATTCCGTTCATCGAATTAGTAAACGCGTTCGAACAAAATCGGTATCATGCATGATTCAGCGCCGTCGCCGTATCAACTGTAAAGCGATCGTAGGAACGAAACTCGGACGATCAAATACAGGTTGATCGATCCGTGTTTTGAGCAAGGTCAACGTGCGGAAATGAAAATAGGAACACGCAGCTTCCGGAGTAAAGTGGAAGAAACGGGGAAAAGATACGAGAAGAGAAGAGGTATGATGAAACTTAATTACGTGATGTAAGTAGCTACTTATTTCCAAGTATCACAATAATCAAAGTACTACATATAGAACGTGTATGCAAGTTTGTGACCTAAGATTCTTGTTCGATTCGTTGTCCGCAAAAGAGGATCGGAAGTTGACCATCTCGTCGATGGGAGGAAAGAATAAAATTTCGGCACTCTTATAGACCCTCCTCCCCCCACAATGTTGGTAACTAAAAGCAACGACCGAATACGCGCGCGCGCTGTGATGTTTTATAACGATGAACGATGTAAATAAATATTAAAAGTAAGCTAATTATTATAAATAAAATACCTTTCCTACATGCTCGAAACGACGTTTCGTCCGAAACTGCAATATTAACGCGAAAGTATCCTGCTGCGCGTTTAGAAAACGTACGCGACCGATACGGCAAACCGGCCGGACCCTAGGATGCAACTTGTTTCTATCGTTCGTAAAAAATTCTTTGAAACGAAGACTTTATTTCGGGGCAAAATATATGTAGGTATATATGTATGTATGTACAGGAGCAAATTCGAGTGGAAAGATGTTTTCGTCGCGGTGCTAACAAAACGCTGCGCTGCTGCATATTCTTACGAATCATCCGACTTTTTGATCGAGAAGCAGGTACATGACGCTCGCTACTTGCAATTTCATAATGCATTTATTTACACTATTTATTTTATTCACGGCTGACTGAAAAAGCCATTTTTCTCCTTGAAAAGCGGGACTAAAATCGCTCATATTTCCCTTGTACACTATAAGCGGGAGTAAAAGTTTAGTTTTGCACATATAAAGTAAAATAATTCTCTTCTTCTTCCTCATATACTTCGACCATGGCAAACGGGGGAAAAAATTTTTTTTTAAATGATAAAAAACTCAGAAAATTTTATCAATATAATACATTCAGTTCCTAATTACTTTTAAATACAGTGGCTTTACAGTTCAGTCGTGAATAAAATATTATATGCAACACGGCAGTAAAGTCAATTATTCCCTTGAGTGATTACTACCCGAGCAAAGCGAGGGCGACTTTACCCCTTTGTTGCATAATGTACTATTAAGGAACGGTTGCCTTCTCGTATGGAGCCTGCTTCCACGAGAGCAAAAAAAAATACAGCGCTTTCTAGTTGCATTACATTTATCTTCTATAAAGAAGGCACTTCGAGCGAGATAGAAGCATTAAAAAAGGGACCTTTGCACTTTACACCGTTACCATAATTGTATTTCGCTTTGGTGTTGTTTCAGTCAACGCGTTTCGTGTCACACGATAATTAGACCAGAATGCCTTCTTTATAGCAAAAGATTATACCGTATGGAGCTTTAAAGATTTCATTCCCAATTGGACGAACATTCCTTTTTACATATACTCTTGGGTATGGCCTATTGCTATTCACTAAGGGTTTAAGGAAAAATCTTTGTGCCTCTGCCGTCGTAAGTGAAATCTTCCTAGCTCCAATATATGTATATTACAGAACCGACATTTCGATCGAGCTGAAAAGTCGGAGATGGAGTGGGAAACTAAGAATTGGAGGTGAACCGTCACTTCGTTGTCCGATTATCGGATTGCAATGCTCGCATAGCTCTGCTCGCGGAATCCTTCCGTCGATTAAATGCGCGGATGATTGGTATCAGCGAAGAAACGACAAGAATGAAAATGAAACGTGTATAGGCTTCGCGCAGTTTTCGGTTAATGTTATTAATATGCGGTGAAACGGATTTCTTTGTACAAAAATATCCGCAAAAATATTCTCTATAGTATCGTAATTTCATGTTACCTATTATATATATAAAGAACGTACGCGGCTCGTCCAACTTGCGTGCACCCGTACCTTCCATTCCCGCGCCTCAACTTCGATTACAGTTTCTCTATTCTAAGTCCAACGAATTTTCCGTAGCCTGCGCACCCTCTGATTCCCCTTTCGACGCAGTGGTAGAGCGCTTCTCCTATTATCTTCGGATCGCGTTTAATTGCACGTCAAACGCAGGAATAATTAGGTTGAAACTCGTTAGGCCGACTGTGAACAGGAAGTGAAAGAAGAAAACCGTTGCTGGAGAAGAGGTGAGGACGAACGTGATCGTCTTGAGTCTCCGATGTATCACATCGCGTCTCGTTTCAGATTATCCGCAGTTCCTTCCCAACGTCCTCGAATCCAGGAAAATCATTTTGCTGCGATTTCATCTTGTGTCGCCGTGTCACCGCCACCGTGAACACTGACTTCGCAAATCGAAACGGTGCGACTCGCCGAACGAAAAGGCACAAACACACTCGGAGGAGACTCGAGAGATCGACGTAAACTATCTCACAAAGGTAACGGTAATTCAGTTTCAGCAACACGATAGCGAGCGCTTTGGAAACAGCCGCCAACACGGTTTCGAGACGGATCGGTCCCTATCGTTGCAGATCCGAATTGTGCGCAATAATTGTCACGGCTTCTAATCCTCGCGCTCCATCTTCTCTACCGATTTTGGTGCTCTTGTCGCTTCACAGTCGGTTCAAACGAATCGGGTCTATCAAAGACGAACATTCGTCAATCGTTGTTCATGTCCTTCAATTCGGTATAGGCGATCCTCTTTCGGTAAAGGTTTCTAGTCGGCGAGATCACTTTTCTCTTGTTCGGCATCGTCGACGGTCCGGGAACGTAATAATGCCGCCTCTTGTACACCACCATTCTGCAAAGGTACCAAACGATTCAGTTAGTTCGATCGCTCCGCGACTACTTCGCTTTGCCTATATCGCAATATCGATTTCCAAGATCACTTTCTAAAGAGTACAAACTAGCAGAAAAGAAACCACGCGTACGCGCTCGAACGGATATTACGCACGCTCTCGCGCAATAGACTCATTCTGATGTTGAATCGTTTATATATATGTATTTGTGCGCGTGTGCTCTCGTATACAATGGTTTTACACGTATACCATTATACCTCGACTTGAAACGGAACAGCGGGCTGAGGAGAGATTCGTTTTGGTCGGTCAGCGAAAAAGGCCAAGCCTAGGAACACTTGGGAAGTTTGAAATCCAATGGTTTCGAATTATTTGCGACATGCGAATCACCGTTGCACTACGTGTGTCGTCGCGTGATCGCGATTTCCGGTTTCGGTGACAGCCACAGGATTATCATTACTGCGCGTTATGCTCTGCTGCCTCGACTGGTAGAATTCGTACTGCGCTTGGATTAGCATTATTTGTTGAACGATAACGGAGATCTACAGATAAGGAAATGCAAGAAATATACACACAGACTAAGATAAAGTGTTGTGCACAGTTCCATCTTTGTGTTTGTACATACATTGTTTCTGGAACTGTTGGATGTTCATGGAATATAATCAAAATTAGGTACCTACTTGGGTTTGGGGAAGCCAGGCGAGGGAAAGACAATGACCATGCTATTCATGCTAACGAGGTACACAGATTTTTAACAGATGGAACAGGTCGGGTAGATGTTTAGACTCATAAACTTTATTTAAACGTGTCACCACAAAGTTAGGCAAACGTAGGTAAAAGGAGGCATGCAACAATGTTCGAGAAAAACATAATACGACAAGGAACTCTTCTCACTCGTTGTCCCGTTTCATCGAGACGTGGTTCCATTCTACCTACCCGTACATATACCTGTACATATAACAACGAACGATCAGTCGATCAACGATCCGGTCGAACGCGTCGAACCAACTTGAATGCGGAGTATCCGATCAGCTCTTTGTTTTCATTCCTTTTGACCCAACGACTTATATTTATATACGTATTGTGACAAAATTTAAAACGCGAAAGAGAAGAAAATGTAAAAATATATAAGTCGCCGTTCAGAGAATCGAGGAATGGCTAGTTTACTTTATTTTGCTGGTTCCGTACGGCGTATACGGGCCTTCTTTGGTGTGAAGACTTTGGCGATCGTTGATTACGCGGTCAAATTGACTAGATGAGACACGCGTACTAAATACCTTTCTCGCTTTCGATCCCTTGTCTTGCTCATATATACATGTACACTATTTGGAATTTCATAGCGCGGAATGTTGCGAAATTATAATTCGTAGCCGCCATCTTTATAAATATATACAAAAATGCACCAACATCTCCAGATGTCACCCAAAAATACAAGGATCGTTTCGCGTAGATCTTTTATGCATCATCTTTTCTATCTTTAACGCGAATAATACTAACTGTAAGCGTACGAAGATATTTCTTGTAACAGAATACACCCGTTAGCGATACGCACACCGTATCATTATCACGAGCTAGTCAAACCGAAAATAGTAATTATATATATATATATATATAGTTATCTTTATGGACGCGTCCTCGACCAGCGAGGAAAGTCGGAAAAACATACATCACAGAAGATTAGTCGCGACAATGCACGCAGAATGGGAAAGCCCAAAAGGACATCGCTTTCTGTTAAACTAGCGGCAAGAGGAAAAAACTGTACGATTGATTTGACGTCGGCCTTCTCCCTCGATTGTGCTAATTTATCCTTGTTTATACTAACTTATCGATGATTAAGGGAGAAGTACGAATTGATTGACAAATATCAACGATAACGGTTTTGCCGTTGCAAAAATTTCCCTATAAACAGATTGATAGACCACAGAAGAATATCTGAAACATAAAACAAAACGGGAAGGTCTATTATTATCGATGTCGAGCTGGTGATAGAATATAGTGACAAAAGGTGGAGGAAGACGACTCACCTCACCCTATAAATCCCGCGGCTATCGAGATTATGAGAGCGAGAATGCCGGTCATCACTTGGCCAGCCGTCGAAACGACGACCTGCTGCGGGGCCGAATTTTGTACGACGTCGTTCGGCACGAAATGATCTTCGGCCGCCAGCCTGTCACCGTACTTGTCCAACAAATCTAGGACGAGACCGTTGCTCCAACCGAAACCCAATTGAACTTCATATTCTCCGCCGCCTCCGTGGCCACCCGACACCGTCGCGTCGTACTGCAACGTATTCGAAGAAGGGGTCCAGCGTCAGTCGAAAGTGAACAACGATCATTGTCCATTCTGAATAAAAACGCACGGATTTGTACAAATTTATACCTTTTCGAACATGCTGTGCGTCTCGTTGAACGCTTTGTAATTACTGCGAACCCATCGCTGAGTAATCTCGTAAGCAAGCCTCTGCGCCCACGGATCCTCGGTATTGTTCAGTGACATGATAACGAAATACTGCAAGGGAGGCCAAGCGTTCGGGTAGTCCCACTGTTCACCCGAGTGTTCGAGAGTAGTCGGTATACCCCCGAGGTTCAACATGATCTGATTCTTCTCGAGATATTTAAGCACCTTCGAGACGTACTCCTCCCTCTTTACGATATCGTAGCAATTGGTCCAGAGCGGGAGGATATTGGTCGGGTAGAAGTAATCTCTCTTGATGTCATTCAGAATATCGTAATCGAGCCAAGCACCGACTTCGTCGTGCCAGAGCACGGCGGTCACAGCCCGTTTCCACTGTTCTGCTCTTTTCCGGTAATAAGCTGCTTTCGTTTCGTTGCCTAGCCTCAGACTATACTGCCCCAAAAGCTGCGCGTTTCGATATATTATGGAATTCAAATCGACGGGGATAATGTATCTCGTTTTCAAGTTCGTCAGGTTACCTAGAGAAGAGAGTGCAAGTGCCTCTAGAGAGCTCGTAATGTTTAACCTCGTAAAGCGGACGCGATGACTATTATACGACCGTATCCGAAAGTTATATGTGATAATTGCAACAATGGACTATTATCGGCGCGTTGCCCTCGTCGACGATTCAACTCCGACGTATACGTATCTCGCTTTACCTTTATTCGTGCCATCGAGTATGAACCACCGACTGGAGAAATCCCAACCCGATTCGGCAGCAGTCTTCAACTCCGCGTAATAGTTGTCCTTCTCTTCGGGGGTACGAAAGCTTTGGCTGGTCAGATAATCCTCTCTGATCGATGGAAATTGATTCATTAGAATCGAGTAACGAGGGAATACAAGAAGAGAAAGAGGAAGACGCGGGAAATGGAAAACGACCGAATGGAAGCGAAAATGAAAACTCGGGTCTCATCTCTTACGTACTTGTAGGACTCCGGTCGCGGTCCCGAGGACTCCTCGTAATATCTGGCCAAGGTATATTTGACTCCGTCCATCTCGACCTCGACCGTGCGGTTGGTCATCCAAAACTCAAACTCCTTCTCGAGGAGGTGGAAGTTTTCCTCGAGCCACTTGTAATCATGCGTTACTTTCAAATACTCGTCCACCATTGGTATCAACAAGGGCGGATGAGATCTCATTGTGTAATAAATTCTGCCTCCGTTAGGGATGAAACCGATCTTGTCCACTATCATAACGAAGTTGGACAACATTCCTTTGACGGTGGTATACATCTCCGAGAGCAAGAGTCCCTTGATTATCCAGTAAGAGTCCCAGTAGTAGAACTCGCGGAATCGACCGCCGGGAACGATCACCGGATTGGGGACGTAAATGATCGAGTAGTGATCCTCGTTCAATCGAACGTCGTCCTTCATCTTCCGCCCGAGCATCTTCCATATGTGGTTCAAGTCCGAAGCGAATTTCCGAAGTTCGTCGTCGGAGATCTTGTTCAGAAATTTCGGCCGGATGGTCCAATCTTCCGGATCCCATTCTTCGAACTCGGACCCTTCCGGGTCGAACGTGTCGTTCACGAACTTCTCGATGTCGTGCCTGGTAGGCATTTGGTCGACTCGGTCCATAAACTCGCGAAACAGCAACAGCGTTTCGTTCGGCGGATTTCTCATCTTCATGTCAACGAACGTTTTCGAGTCCTTGTAGATCGAAGCCATCTGTATCGTGTGCAACAGCTCGCCCTGGCAGTATATGTCGCTGCAAGCCATACACGGGTACGCGTCCAATCTCTGTTCCGCATTTACTCATTTTACGTCTACATATACGATATAATAACGGCGTCGAATCGACTCGATGCGACTCGACTCGATTCGACGTATGAACACGGACAAGCAATCAAGCGTTTGGCAGATCCTTTTATCTCTTAATCGTTTATTAAGCACATCTTCGACGAACCGAGCAGCGAGGAGCCGATAAGGCGAGATTCCAGCAATTAAGAGATTTCACTTTTAATTCGTTCCTGTTCTATACGAAAATACAATAATTCCCACTCTATCGTCGTGATTGTTAACCTTCGAATTTAGTATCAATGCAAATACGATTCCTACCAACGGCCGTTATCTTAACATTGCGCTTCGTCGCGGTCGTGCAACCGATGACTAATGACAGACTAAAAAATCATAGCATGATGAAAATCACAGGATGCCTGGGACTGATCTTTGTAATCATTGCCTTATCTCTGATGACCCGACGAGACGATCTCGCTAATATTTCGCTAACGTGTCGCGATCAATCTCGTATATATCAGTTACGGTCACGGCCACAACCGCAGACACGCCGCCGTGGCTATTTCTTAAGATATTGGCTGTACAGTCAATCCCAAAAGTTTATGCACTTTAGAAACGCATTTTTTAAAAAGAAATCAGACGTCGGAAGAACATTGCTAATAATAAACAACAACAAAAATTTTTCGATTTTTCCGACATTTTTCCAAGGGGTACCCC